ACACTCACACACACACACTCACACACACACTCACACACACACACACACACACACACACACACACACTCTCACACAAAAGAAAAAATGGTTCATGCAAACAAGAATATAGGAAAACGAGTTCAACCTTGTTAGGAAAAACTTTCTGAGCGTACGTTAATTTATGAACACATTAGGACAGCTGTGAAAAAACAGGAAATATCAGCATCTGTGAACACAATCCAGTCAAGACATAAACAAGTTTTTTAATGAAGGTGGGTGGTTGGAAGGTGCTCTGGTACGGTTTACTCCTTCTTCCTTATCAAATATTTATCGTCTTTATCTCTCCTCCTTCTTTTTTGTGTTTATTACTCTTGTAATACCTCTAATCTTCAACACTTATAAGACATTATTGTGTTGCAAGTGCTTTTAAAAACGTTCACTGAAGCTAAACAAAGACAGATGAAGGGAAATAAGTTTTTAAAAAGGCATAAATGAAAGTCATAGCAAAATATTTTGCAAGATGCTTGATTCTTCTTTCTATGCGTCTGATTAGACCTCGGAGATTGGAAGCAAATTCTATAGTGATTATTTTTTACTTTTAATTTATTTCATCCTCGTAGCTGCAGTTTCACACCACTGATTTTTTCAGAGAACGTTTGTCGAACAAGTGCCTCATGACTGGGGTTAACCAAACTTATTGTTGCAGAACACAGCACTACACCACAAATTAAAACGACATAATAAATGATAAACGAAAACTCTTACCGTGGTTGTTGAGTATTTGATTTCAATAAATGTAGTACATTGTATGTTTCCTGCAGTGAGTCGACCAAGGCTCTGTCCCTTACCCTCTCTCATCCGATTGTTCCTCGATTTTCCTGCAGAAAGCCGTGACTGGCTGATTATATACACTTTCCTGAACTCTTTTACGCGAGAACCCCTCCCTGCATGAGATATCCGTGTCACTCCGCACGGGAACCCGTGCCCCGAGGAAATCTCGTTACTTGTGTACACAACACTTATATACGTCATGTTTTGTTTTTTGTCTCAGGCTTCTTTGAAGAATGCACGAACAGCCAAGATGTACGCCCATCCTATCCCAATGACAGCATATGTCCTTATAGCCTTGCATCACATGACGAATCTGGTTAAGGTAAGTCTGTCAGTGGAAAAGTCATAAATCTGTTTATGTGTGCTATTGGACTAAAATAAAAAGATATTCTTCGACAGTATCTGTTTTCTGTAACTTTTAGTACAATGACAGAAAGATGGAAGAATAGTGTCCTTACAGTTTGTAACTTGCTTCCCATTCTGGATTTTAATCTTTAATGTGAAAACATTGGATAAACGAACAATTAAAAAATCAGTTTGGAGTACAGGGGTTAAAGTTTGGCACTGAATGAAGTTTGAATTGTTTTGTTTTTTAGTGCACGATCTAAGGGCTGCTCCAACTTTCATATTGCATGATTTCTGCTTTACAGATGAATTCAAATTTCAGCTTCATCTTTTTCATGCATACACTCGGTTCAAATAGTGTTTTGATAAGTACTTTAACACTCTGCCGCCTTATCTCGGCGATTTGCAATGTTTACCACCCAGTTTCTTTGGATTTTCCCCAAAATATGATGGCAAAGTGTTAAAGGATAGAAATCTATCATGGTATGACGTACAGCAAGTTATAGACTCTTACCAGAGAATTTGATGGTTGTTAGAAAATGGTCTTAGCACATATTTAGTCATATTAGATTTAGGTATTGTTGTTATTCATGATTCATGATCAGAATATATTCTCCTGAGAACAGTCAAAGAATTTCACTTTCCGGTTGCCAGCTGTAAGGATATATTGATTATTTTTTCTTCTGAAATTCGTCTTTACCTTGGTCAAGAACATTAAAGTACATTCTCCGATACATACTCATATGTCATATTTACGTACAACTTTGCTCTTGAGAAAAAAACGGTTCTCCAAATTTCATCTTCCTTTAGAATTTTAGAATGCCCCAATTTTGTATGACAGGTCTTCCAGTTTGAAGTATGATTATTTGGTTTCTTTATCAAGACATTCACCTTTTTAATATCTTCTTTTGTGCTAAACCAACAGTCCTAATGTTGAGGGACTGCTGTGTCTTCTAGCATCCGTGTAGGAGAACCGGCTTTTGCAAGTCTAGCTTCTGATATCCAATTACAGTTTTCCTTTCTTCGTTTGTACTAATATCTGCTGCATAGAGTTGAGAATAAAGTCCGCAAGATGCTGTTCCCTCCTTGGTATTTTTAATGTATCCATTTCCATTTATCCAAAGTAACCTGTGCACACTGATTGTCCGTTGGTATCGTGCTTGACTCTGTTGTTGTGTTTTGTTTGTTTGTTTTTGTTAAGTGTTTTACGGCGCTCGCAACTGCATAAGGTCATATGCACGCGGGACACACCTAATATTTTCAGTGGGTAGGAAATTTTGAATTTTGCCCGGGTGGCGGCCGAAGCCTACTCTTATCAATTTTAGACCACCAAGGGATCTTTAACGTGCGCAACTTGCACACGGGCCCTCCGAGATTTTTCGCCCTTGTCCGGGAAGGCTAGGAGTAGATCTTTCCTACCAGAAGATCAGGGGTGTGGCTGAAAGACAGCAGTAAGAAGAAGCCAAGGAGTAGCAGTAGAAAGGCTGCAGAAAGAATCAGAAGCCCAGAGGAAGGGGCAAAGGAGGTGAAGTGGTGGGGGCAGAAAGAGGAGACGAAAGCAGACGACAGAACATTGCTAGAGAGCAGGAAATGAGGTGAAAGGAGACAAATTTAGAGAATAAAATTTTTCGGTCGCTACCCTGATTCGAACCTGGGACCTTTGAACGAGAGGCCAACACCTTAACCTCTAGGCCACGAGAGCCCCCTGAGACATATGTGAGACAGCATGGCCAAATCAGGCGCTCATCAAAATAAAAAAATCGGAGAAGCAGGCATTTTTCCACCAGTTTGGAAATTTTCATCGAATTCTTATTTTTTGGTTCTACCTCTTTTCTGTCCATATAAAAACTCATTTCCATGTGAATTTTACTGCGAAACATCGATTAAAGGCACAAAATATGTCATTTTCCTGTTTTCAAGGACTCTTTAGCTATTGGAGTCACCATTTTCTCGCTAATTTCACCACTGAAACCAGGTAACATCACTTCCTTCCTTCGCAAATATCTTGAGTTCTATTCAAGATAGATGGATATTTATTTCATTGGAAGCATGGCAAATAAATCAGCTTTTAAATGATACCATTAACTCCACTAGCCCAAAATTTGGCGAGCGCCTGATTCCTCAGCGTCGTGACACAAATTTGAACTTTTGTTGTTTAAGTTATTTTTGTGGCTCTCCCTCCACTTGCTTTTGTCGTAATGAGAGCTGACGATGAACCGAAGATCACACCTCTCAGATAACCTTACAGTATTGAAAGGGGTATTAAAGCCATATCTTACCATACAAACGAAACATATACCATACACACCAACCCTTGAATAGTTTGCATGTAGATTCCTTGCTCAATATAGTGTATTCGGAAGGACTTCCGTAACGAGCGACCACCCCATTAAACACAATAAAGAAGAGGCCTAGACCTAACCCTAACCCTAACCCTACCCTAACCCTAACCCTAACCCTAACCCTAACCCTACCCTTACCCCTACCCCTACCCCTACCCCAAGCCCTCAATTCTACTCTGTCTCATAGTGGTCGCTCGTTACGGAAGTCCTCCCCACGTGTATTCTATCACTTATTTAGATATGATCATGCCCTTTGGATCAGATTGTATGCTTGTTGTTGTCAAAGATGCCTCTGTGTCAATATGTCTCTTAATTCACTGTCAATATGTCTCTTAATTCACTGTCAATATGTCTCTTAATTCACTGTCAATATGTCTCTTTATTCACTGTCAATATGTGTCTTACTTCACTGTCAATATGTCTCTTAATTCACTGTCAATATGTCTCTTAATTCACTGTCAATATGTCTCTTAATTCACCGTCAATATGTCTCTTACTTCAACATACCCACAGAGTTCTGCCCCTTGTATTGAAAATGCGAAACGGAAAGCGGAAAACTACCTGAACCGTGAAGTGGTCAACTTAGGCTCCGAGGAAATCTTTTTCCTTTCTATATCCTCGTATGCATTGTCTCTGACGATGCGGAATCGTGAAGCTACCAACAGACTGTGGAATCTGAAGAGGACTGACAGTAAGTGATGTAGTAGAACCCCATTATGGCACATTGCTGGTACTATGTTCTGACTGTGGAAAAATAATAATAATAATAATAATATATAACTTTTATATAGCGCATTTCCAAAAAAAGTAGCTCAATGCGCTTTACATTGGAATACCCATTGTCTTGTTGAAGAGTTAAGTGGTCATCTTAGACAGGTGGCTATCTTACACAGAGTCATAAAAAATGTTTTGTAATGCTAGGGAGGAAATAGGAAGTGGCTGTTTGTACAGTGTAATTGTCTTGTACAAATGGCTGTTGTTCCACTGCATTTCTCAAACGGTAATATCACAAGAAGGTGAACAGTATTTACCAAAAATTCTCAGTTACTGTTTATCCTTGTAAAAGGGCTTTTATCTTTATTTTTTGGCATTTTCTCTGTATACTTTTCTATGGACAGTCTAATCTCATTATACCGCCCCCTGTTATACCGTCAGCCCCGCTCACCGCCAGGTTTTGCCAATATACAATAAGGAAAGCTTCCATAAACATAGTATTTACACTGCTATCTGCCGTCTGCCAACTGTCTAAGTTGTACGGTCCTCATCAAACTAATGTAAATTTGCCCTGCTATACTGCCAGAGAATTGACCGCCAATGATACACTCTACACATGGCACTCACTTGATGGCTGTTTGATAATCTCTTTCCATCACATATCTGTTTGAGGACTCGCGCTCAAGTCTACATATGTGAAGTGTGCTGACTAAATGAGTTACTTCCCGGATTCAAGCCTTACAGAAATAGATACTTCACACTTATTATAGGTGGAGTTTTTACAATTTATAAGTATGAAATATCAAGAGGCATGTTATACATAAGAAATAGGGCATCTGTAGAAAATTGACTAATTTGACCTTAGTGTTGATTTTTTGCCAATATCTCCATTTTTGGATTGCAAGAAGTAACTCATTTTGTCAGCACGCTTCACATATGACAGGTCTAAGGCAAACCGAGGGCTGACGAGTATTGGGTAGAAAAAACAACCCAAAACCGTACTTCTACAGTGTCCTTGACACACATAGCCTAGCTTCTGATCCGGCAGAAAGTTTCAATTTGAATTTATGTAAAGTATAGCTGGAGCTGCATGTGTAATTCGTTGCTACTCGTTTTTCCCCTGTGTACAGCAATCGCACAAGACAGGTCTAGATGAGGCACGACTAGCCACAGTTTGTCTCTAGTCTCTATTAGTCTACCAGTAGTTACGATGGCTATCATTGCAATCTCTAGTTATACCACCAGCCCTGCTGTACAGCCAACTTTATGCTCATGCCAAGGTTTATAATGGGGTTTGACTGTATAATTGCAAGAAGTATTTATCATTGGGTTTTTAGAAATAAGGAAATGTAAAAATTTTATGTAGAAAATTGTAGCTGTCATGGGAAATGCTGAACTCTTTTTTGATGTTGCTTTGCAGGGTAGGAAATGTAATGTTGCTTTGCAGGGTGAGTAAAACAATGAGTTATTTTTCTGTCCTCAGCAACAAAGTATGAGTACATTTTATTACATGACTATACTATCTTTGATTTTCAGAGGAATACAACTACTTTGCTGATGGGGTAGTTTACAGCAATCCTGAGGCTTGGCAGGATGGTACGTTGCGTTATCTTTTGCCCCGACAGGAGTTGTTAAATGACGCTTACTCTGTACAAAGCACGGCTTATGCTGTCCTGGCTCACGTGCAAGTAGCCAAAAAGAATAGAAATGAACGAGAGATGGCCATATCCTGGATGAATCTGATGAGGAACTCCGTGGCTGGATTTTCTTCAACTCAGGTATGTTTTATTGGCCGTTTTATGTGTGGCAAAAATTTGGAGGTCCTATCTTCTAAAATAACCTTACGGTGTTGAAAGGGGGGATAAACCGATAAAATTTGATTTTCACTTCAGTGAGACTTGAATGATTGATGTCGTAGAAGGAAAATTTCACCAATGACAAAAATATTTTATGGAAGTTTATTCACACCTATTATAGTCTGTTTTTGTGAGTTTTAACATCTGCCTCTGGAACTTATTTCCTCGTTACAATGGAATTTATTGAAAGAATCATGGATGTCAGAGATGATAATACTTTTAAATAGGAGCTACAACAACTATTCTTTTATCAATGTGCACATATGGAGCTCTGGCAGCAAGTTAATATCAGTATAGAGCTGTTTTATGGTATTTACAAATATGGAGCATTTGCATGTAGCTGAGAAGATGCAGGAAAATTATGCCTTATTTTCCTGAAAACTGTCATCTTCTGTCAACTTTTCAAAAGGGGGTGAGGGAGGGGAGGGGGGGGGGGGGGAGAGGATTGCACATATGATCCTCAGATTGACTATTTTTCTCTTTGAAATGGAGAAAAATGAAAGGTCAAAATTTACACCTGGCAGAAAAAGTATTGGCATGTCACAAATATATTTTTTCAGAAATTGAATAGGTCAAGTTTAAAAGATAATCCCTGTGAATCAATTCCTCGAGAGTTGGTGCTGAGAGCAATCAGCGGTGTGAGCATTGACCTGGGTGCAAAGACTTCAGGCTTAATGGTAAACACAAATCTCAATAATGTTATAAATAAGCTGTAAAGGAAATATAGTCTCCAGGGGTCTCTTTCATGAGACAATAAGTGAGGCAGCGTGGTGGAATCAGGCTCTGGTCAAAATAATCAAAGTGAAGAAACATGCATTTTTCCACAGGTTTGTGAATTTTTATTAAATTTTTGTTTTTTGGCACTACACATTTCATGTCCAGTAAAAAACTCATTTCTGTGTGGATTTTTCTGAAAAGCGTTGATTAAAGGCATAAAAAATGTAAATCTTCACTTACCACGGACTCTTGAGCTAAGGAAATAACTAATCTTTGGCGGCCATTTTCTCACTAATTTTACTTCTGAAAACAGGTGACCCCCACCTCCGTCTTTCGCAAATATCTCGACTTGTATTCAAGATACATGGATATTTTTTTTCATCCAAATAAAGACAAGTGAACAAGCTTTAAGATGATACTAATAACTCTACATGCCCAAAAATTGACGAGAGCCTGATTCCACCACGCTGCCTCACAAATGTAGTCTCCAGGGGTATCTTTCATGAGACAATATATAGTAAATTCACCAGTGTTCCTCGGAGTAGAAGGCCTAAGTTTATTTTACCGATGTATTCGGGTCTTGTTGGTGTTATTGGTTATTTTTTTCTCCCTGTATTTTCTTGTCGACAGGATACTATTATTGCTATGGAAGCTTTGATTGAATTCGCTCGCGCTGATCGTAACAGAAATTTGTTTCTCATGAGCTGTTACATATCGGCCACATCGTCCAACAGCTGGGAGAGGACGATGGAGTTGAAACAGAATGACTTCACTCACTTGCACAAAGTTTATGTAAGTAATGTCTGAGTTGATTCATGCTTATGGTGTTTGTGTGTGTGTGTGTGTGTGCGTGTGTGTGTGCGTGTGTGTGTGTGCGTGTGTGCATGTGTATGTATGTGTGTGTATGTGTGTGTGTAAGTGTATGTGTGCGTGTATATGTATGTGTGTGTGTGTGTGCGCGTGTGAGTGTATGTGTGCGTGTGTGTGTGTGTGCGCACGCGTGCGTGTGTGCGTGTATGTGTGTGTGCCTACATGTGAGCATTTTTGTGGTTGAAGGGACATACTTTAGAATTGTTTCGTTTTTTTGGGCTGTGTATGAATATGTATGCTTTTGTTCTTTTGATACTATGTGTGAATACAGGTGCATGTTTTCTTTGGATATAGTGTTCTTATTTAATAAAGAAGAATGATGTAAAATTGGAAGATTATCTTATCACATAAGATAAGATAAGATACATCTTTATTGTCCAGATCCGGGCACTTTGGTTTGGTGTTTCACCACGTGCACACATACATACACACACACACACACTCACTCACACACACACACACACACA